AAGTGATATCTTCAATATTAAAATCTAAACCAATGATTTTCTGTAAAACCATATATATTAAACAGTAAATATTACTTTCATCATTGATAAAGATAAATTATGAGTAAATAAGCGAATTAAATTACCTTAGTTAACAGATGACCCAATTCCATAATCCTTACTCTACGACGACTTTTAAAATCTCGGTCAGAAATCAAGTTCAATGTCATCATCCACAAATTTTATATATGGTTTAGGTATATGTTCAAACATAAAGTTCATAAAGTGACTGAAGCCAAGAAATACCACGTAATTCCCAATTTTCAATTAATGGAAGAGGACGAAGACGATCTATAGAATTTGAATCTTCAATATTTGATGAAAAATTCCATAATTTCTTTTAAAGTAAATGGAGATACTTGATGGCAATTTTTATGAGGAATCGAACCAAAGTATCAGGACAAATAGATTTGTCCAAAAATTTTCTCAAATACAATTATTAGATTTTTCTGCAAAGTTATTAAAAGCATCATTTGCTACTAGAGATGGGTTTCATGCGCATTTTATCCCATCAAGATTTCTCTCTTCTCGATCGTTTTTTCTTTTTTTGCCTTTTTATATCATGCGATATCATGCGCATTTTCCCATCACTATTTGCTACCATCCAAAGTAACACGATCTCACAATATAAAAGCAAGCCCTCAAAAACATCAACTTCACCCTGAAACGATATAGAGTCAAGATATTTAGACATGAATTGATACATGACAGTAAAAGTGAGACTAGATTCTTCAGCGAATGTTGATCTAAATCTAGAATTTGATTAAAATCCATATTAGTTGACGTGGTTAACCTGAGAAACGAATTTCGATATTACCATAATTGTATACCTTGTCCGATTTGTATCATTATAACTCCGAATATCTTTCAATCTGAATAATTTATCTATAAATATTTTTAAAAGCTGATCAAAAAATTCAAGACCAACTTTGGTAAAAAGCATTCCATGTAATCGATATACAAGCACTCAATTGATTGATTATTCAGATTATCACATCGTTTATTTGAAGAATGTAAAGTTTCCGTTGCATATAAGTACGGCTTTTTTTGCTTTTGTTTATTATTGCTTGTCACGAAAGTTGCAAAACGTTTACGATTTGATTCGAATAACCAAATAAGTGACCCACGAGCGGCTATATAGGGTGTATCAACGATAAGGCTTTAAATGAAGTATGAAATTGTTATACTAATGAATAAATAATATAACATTAAAAGATTACACTAATAAATAGATATGCGTACCTTCTACAATAATAATATAACGTTTTAAACTCATCTTGTCCCGCGAGAATAGCCAAGTGATTCTAAAGTTTTCCTAGGAATAAATAAATATATATAAAATATAAAGATTAGCTACAAGTAAAAGTATTAAATTATTATGCCATTATTAGATTTGAGCAGAATCCCTAAATGATACCATCGAGATGCATTTTCTGCCCAAAATTGTTTATTCTTTTCTTGATCTTCCGAATAATATCTAGCAATGTCCCAAAACAACCTATACAACGTATCTGCCTTGGAGGTTTATTGCTCTCCAAATTCTTATTACTAAGTGTCGAATTTTCAGAAATAAGTTTTTATAAAACATTCCAGCTTCATCTAAAAAGATGTCAAATTGACTTAAAATAATAGTAGATGATGATGATTGTGGTTTATTTGAAGATTGACGTCTTTCCAAAGAAATTGCTTGACGAAATTGTTCAATTAATGAGTAAACCGAAATTTTCCAACATCTTGATTCAATGTCACCAAGAGTAATATGCGCATCATGTACGTATACGTACGTACGTACATGCAGATACTTACTACCGTTTTATATTAATACAGATCGTTTTTAATGATTGTCGTAATGCTGCATCGACCACTGATACGAAACTTACAAGTGTAATTAATGATCACAACTGTTCTCGAAAAATTTTATGTCTACATAGATATTAATTCTGTCAATTAAAAGATGCCAAGAAGTTCTAAAAAATATATCCAAGTAAATGGATATATCCGAAATTTCGTTCATTTCAACCCATCATATTTACGACCAAAGAAATTTCTTTTAATAATTTCATTTGTCAGTGTATTCATTACTTTACTTATATTTTATAAATTACATTTTACTCCTTATAAATATAGTCAATTTTTAATTGGAATATCTCATGAAGCTTACAGAAATGGTGTGATTAAATGTAGTATGATAAAAAGCAATAAACTTGATAATGTGTATCCACGAACAAGTAATCCTAGGTTCGTTCCAGGAACAAAAACTATTGTTTTCAAAAATGGGATGATTTTAAACGGAAAAGGAGAAAATATTTTGGGAGATCTTATCTTAAAAAATGGATTGATTCATGCTATTGGACAAAACCTCTCAGATGAAGCTGAAGCTATCGTAATTGATGTCAAAAAAAAATATATTACTCCAGGACTTGTTGATATGCACAGGTAAAATTTGGCAATAGTCTTATGGTTTATTCTTTTTTGATCTATAAATATATTTATCCGAAAATAATTTACAGCCATGCTACTATCTCGTCTTGGCCATTCTTAACTGGTAGCGATGATGGTAATAAAGAAACATATCCGCTTACACCTTATGTTTGTATTATAATTAGTATTGATTGTATAACATTGATATATATGTATCAGTTTTCCATTTATACATATATATTAATTGGTTTAAATACAATTTTTCCCAAATTATATTCAATTTCATTATTCTAAATTCAGGTTCGTGCACTGGATGCTATCAATCCGAATGGTCCAGGTTAGTAAATGGAATTAATAATTTGAAAATCTCTTATGTATAAAGTATTTTTTAAATTTTATTTTTTTAAAAAAAAATATATATATTTTAGAAATTCGAATAATCGCATCGGGTGGCGTTACGACTTCATTAAGTAAGCTAATCATATTTCATATACGCACAATAATAATATAATATTTGTAAATGCTTAGCGATAATTGCATTTGATCCCTAAATAACATTTTATTGGAGTGTGTTAAACATAATAGTCAATATTAATTTAATTCCTTATGCTCAAAATAGTTTTGACTGGTAGCTTAAGTTTGATGAGTGGTGAAGGTTTCGTTATCAAGATGCGACCAGTTGATACTTCTTCAGTGGATGATATGGGAATTAATGCAAAAATTGATACAGAGAAGGAAAGAGTCTGGCGTTGGCTAAAAATGGCTTGTGGTGAAAATCCAAAGGTAAGCAAAAAAATTTCTTTTCTTTTTTTTTTAATATTGTGATATCTTAATGATTATATTTTATTACATACTATGAAGGCTCAACATAGTCCTCTTAAGAAGGCACCCACTACACGATTAGGAGAAGCATGGCTATTCCGTGAACTCTTTGCTGAGGCACGAGTATTGAAACAGAAACAAGATGATTGGTGTAGCGCTGCAACAAAATTAAGTAACAATGAACAATTGAATTCATATTTTCCGGAGGACCTTCAACTCGAGAGTTTGGTGGCATTATTAAGAGGGGATGTGAAATTAAATATTCATTGTATTGAGGTTTATTTTATTGAATTTATGAAATATTTAATATTTTATCTATATCCACATATTTATAAACATTCTAATTTAAATGTATATTATATAGCCTTTTGACATAGAAACAATGATTCGGCATTCTTTGGAATTTAATTTTACTATTGCGGCAATACATCATGCATCAAGTGCTTATATGATTACTGATATTATTAAAAAACGAGCAAAAAATAACATTACTGTTGTGTTGTTTCCTGACCTTTGGGGACATAAAAAGGAATTATTTCAAGCTAGTACAAAAGCCCCTAAAATTTTTGCAAATGCTCAAATTCCTGTAGCATTGAAGTCCGATCATCCTATAACAAATGCAGTGAGTTGTTTATAAGTTATTAGATAACATAAATTTTATTCTAATCAATGGTCGTTAATTATAGCAACACTTGGCATTTCAAGCTGCTAAAGCTTATCATTATGGCCTTGATGAGCATAATTCTCTTGCAGCCATTACATCAGTGCCTGCAAAAGCACTTGGTCTAGATCATCGAATTGGTCAAATTTCTTTAGGATATGATGCTGATGTTGTGGTAATACGTATAATGTGTTGTCCGACTTTATGAGAATATATTTTTTATTTATGATTGTTTTTATTAGGTTTGGGATTCTTATCCTCTTTCATTGGGTGCAACTCCATTAGAAGTATATATTGATGGAATTCCCCAATTCAACACTTCTTTAAGTGTGCTAAGCAATGAAACATCAAAACAAACTCCATCATATAATAAAAATGTATCTATGCCAAAATCTGATCTTACTGGAAAACCTGTTAAATCACAAACAACTTCCTCAGTCATATTAAAAAATATTGACAAAATTTTTGTTGATAAAAATCGTACACTTTCATCAATAGAAGGACCAATTAGTATCGTAGTTAAAGATGGCATTATCGAATGTATTGGCATTAACTGCATGATTCCAAGTAATATTTCATCATATGAAATAATAGATTTAAAGGGTGGCTATGTATTACCAGTAAGTTTTTTTAATTGTTTATTATCCTGTATATGTATTACAGTTCATATATATAGTAAATTTCTAAATTTGTTTGAATTAAAGGGAATTATTGCTATTAGTCCTGGTTTAGGACTAGCGGAGATTGAATTAGAGTCTTCTGCAAACGATGGGCAAGTTGTTCCTATAATCAACCCAGATAATGTTGAGGATATTATTTATGCAATAGATGGATTAAAATTAGGTGGAAAACATTTAGAGACTACATATAAGGCCGGAGTTCTCACAGCTGTAACTGCACCTCTTTCTTCTAAAAGCGTGTTTACAGGAGTTTCTATGGCATTTAAAACTGGTGCTGGTTCTAGTAAGATATTTTTATGTATATTCTTTTAAAAAATTTATGTCATTTGATTTTAGCAGAGCAGACACTTAGAAATCATATTCTATTTTTATTAAGTTTTCGACTATGAACCAATCATTAGTGAAAATGTTGCATTGCATGCAAAGATAGGCACTCCATACAAAGATGGTAATAAATAATTATACGTATTAATAACATGAATTCATTAATTTATATATGTTATGATTTTATTCTATTTTCACTTAAAGACCGTATACCAACAGTCTCAGGCCAGATTTCTCTAATCAGGAAAGCGTTAATGAAAAACCTTGAACATCAAAATCTCTTCGGTCGTGTTGCACGTGGAGATATTCCTTTTATTGTATATGTTGACAGTAAAGATGAAATTGCTTCATTAATTAGATTGAAAATTCAAATTAAAAATTATGGAGGAAATTTAAAGCTTGTTATTTCAGGTGGTGCTGAAGCTCATATGCTTGCTATAGAATTAGCCAAGAATGAAATACCCGTAATACTTAATCCATCAAGACCTACACCAAAATTATGGACAGCTCAACATGTACTAACAGGAGCTCCTATTACAAATAAGACGGGAATAGATATTCTTTATGAAAATAATGTTAAGATAGGAATAGGTGTGGATTTATATTCATTAGGATTTAATTCATATTTATTAGGATTCGGTTTGGAAAGAAATTTAGTTTGGGATGCTGGTTGGGTATTACGAAATTCCAAAGAATTAATTTCGCAAGAAGATGCTGTTGGATTTATTACATGGAACTTGGAAGAAATTCTTGGTTTAAAAATGAAAAATGGATTACTTAAAGGTAATATTGCAAATTTTGTGGCATATAATGGAAATCCCTTTGATATTAATACGAGAGTAAAGATTGTTGCTGGCGGTGGTAGAAAGGATATTCTTATTGATCCAGAACAAGATTAAGAATAATTATAGTATATTTACAAATTATTAAAAATTTGCAATATATAATAAAATTATATTAAGGGCAGTTTTTTTGAAATTTACTATATAGTTAATTTCATAGATTAACTCTTATCACACTTTTAGGATCAAATTTTTTATAGCCCACACCATTAATACAATTGAGTATTAACAATTGATTTAAAGTAGGTGAGGGCTATATTAAATTTGATTCCTTGAAGACTCTTTGCCATTTATTTATCTATTTAAAGCTCAAATAGTAAATTTAACAGTAAAATCTGTCGATATCCGTTAAAGTTATAAGAAAATGGTAACAGATTCAAGTCTAATTTGTTTAATGTTTGGATTTGAAATTATAATGAATAAAGCTTATTTGCAATAATTATAGTTAGTCGACTAAAATACTTTTTTTAGTTGATATTTATAAATGTCTATATATGTCGATTTTGTATATTAAATTTGGAATTGGTTTTACCTTTCATATACTATATTAAAATCGTGAATTACACATTATATGAGTGTATTCCAGCATCGTCTTTAGTGCGCTTTTTTAATACCATTTTAATGGAATCTTTAGGTTTCAATTTATCATTAACTTTTCTGGTGATAATTTCCCTCTATTTTTCATCAGAAAACAATGATTTGGTTGTCACATTAGCAACCATTGATTATGAATGAATGCAAATAAGATTTATGGGTTAAGTTTTGTGAATATTTATAACTTTTATTTTTTTTTGAAGGTCTACATTTTGTTGGGGCCCAAATTATGATAGATAAGATAGAAAAGAGTTGGGTTTATTATTTTCAGGTTGAACCGATTTTACCTGTGTCAAATATAAAAACTTTTGCTATTCACCAAGTTTAAAATAAACTAAATAGGCATCGTCTATATCAGAGGAATCTATTTTGGCTTAGTTTATAGTTTCCGATTGCGAAGTACTCTGATAGAAGAGATTCTTTGATAGCATATAACGATCGTAAACTAAAAACCTACTAGAATACCTTGGTTTATGTTATTATTTTTATTTCCCAATTCTTTGCACATTTATGATCAGTTCGATCTCTCTGCAAAGAACAAAGGTGTTAATACTTTGATTAACTCTTGTGTTTCTGTTTTCTTATCTGAATTTATATCTCACCAGGTTGACAAAGAAACTTAAAAATCATTTATTCAAGTTATTCAAAAATTTTTATACATACATTCAATATTGTGGGATATAAGTTGAAGTGAAATATTAAATTGCGAAATCGATTACACGAAGATCAAACGCGTATCTGTAAATTTTCGTAGCTGATAGCATATGCAGGAGCTCTTCTGTCAAAAACCGGTTCAACCCTAGCGGTTTAATATAACTAAAATAATAAAGGTATTTACTAATTCGGCTTAAAACTTATCGGTTATCATTTGATGTACACAATGGTTTAGGCCGATTTTAATTATTGCTATATAAAAGTGTTGTTCATGATTCATATCGTATTAAAACTATTTGAAATATCAAAAATGACATTCTATTTCTATCATTTGATACTTGGACTGGTTTTGAACCCGTTTTGAACTAGTCCATAAAAAATCCGCCCCAGACCTCATTGCGGCTGATTCTACGTCAATAACCTGGTACATGTTCAAGGAATATTCGGCGGATTTATGGAATTGGGTTTAAGTCAGGGTCCCTAAATTTACAATATGCATAATATACAACGTGCATAACAGCTGAAATTTTGGAGTCTGTTTTACAATCGCACTTTTAAAATTTTATAGACCCAAATTTGGGTCCAATTTAACCCACCTAGCATAACCACCCAAATCAGTTACGTAATCGTAATTTGAAAATTGAATTTCAGCTATTTTATTCGAGTTATTATGTGAACTTCAAAATTCGAAAACAAGATTTATACAAATGCAAAAAATATTTATTAATTTACTATGTTATTATAGTAAAAAATTCTACAACTCATGAACTTTTACAGCTTTATAAAAGAAATAAAATAAATTCAACATTTTAAATTATTATAACTTAAACACAATTCGAAATTATTTGATTTACTGCCAGTAAAAAGTATTCTTATTATGTTCCTCCTATGTTTTTGGAATATTTTTTGATTGTTCCAAATGTTTTATATCATTTATCATCTTTTGAAGAGGTGTGAAGTTTGATTCAATATTTTGGAGTCATTTTTTTTGATTCGGAAGTTCATAAGACTTGTCAAGTAAGTAAAAAACCTATATGAAATACAATAAATATTTTGTTTATATAGGATAAAGAAATTGATGATTTATAGTATATACCTCATTAAGTGTTTTTTTGTATCGTTCTACAATTTCTAATTCAGGTTCTGTGCTGATTTTGTTTAATTTGTTAATTAGACTAGAAATAGTAATTAATATTTCTAGATTCATTTGTCCAACGTTTTCATCATCAACTTCCATAAGCTTTTCATAAACAATATTTTCGAATTCTTCCAGTTCTATAGCATTTTCGTAATCCTTATAAAGATTATCTAAAAATTGCTCTTCACTTTTTTTTTCCCTTTATTTATACGATCCAAGCATAAAATACATGTTTTTTTATTATCTTTGAAAGCATTAGTGGGTTTTATTGTGTGACAGGTTGAACATTCTTGGGTAAGATAATTAACTTCCATTTTAAATTTGTGAAAAGAATTTTTTTTTTTTTTTACGAAAGATTTTTATTATAGTATCAATCAATATAGTATCAATTAATATATCATTAACAAATAATAATTATTTACATTACGTTACTATATCTATCATGCTGATAATAAATAATTTAAATCCCGAACGTAACTGATTTGGGTGGTCATGCTTGGTTCGTGGTCCAATTTCGCACGTCCGTAATCTGTGACAGGTTAAACCATTAATTTCAATCCCCGTCCGATTATATTCCCAGAGTAAGACTTGACTGTCATAAACTATTAAAAAAAAATGAAATATAAATTCAAAAGTTGCTTTTGGATATTAACAAATATTATAGCTACTTTTTAAGCAAAGAAAACAATATTTCGTTTCTTTAATCGTGCTATTGTTCAACACATTCTTACTTAAGAGATACTTTTTTTTACTCAACTCTACCTCTTTCGAATGAAGATAACTCAAAGAGCTGAATTCCATATCATTTATTCGTGAACTCATATTTTCGCAGCATTTTTGATTGAATAGTCGCAACAAAAAAAAATTATAAGAAAAAATATTCGGATGATTTTATTTTATTTCATTACATTGATCTTTGAATTTATCTAACACGGTTCGTAATGTTGGCCTAATATTTTGACAGTTTGAACTAAAAATAATGTGATTCCAGAAATATCGTTCTCATCCATTTTCTTAATTCCGTTTTAAGTTTTTTTAAAAAAATATATATCCAAATTTGTATAACCTGCGAGGCATTTGAAGGACCTTTCGTACTAAATTTTAGTTTATTTTTTTTATAAACTTTATTAAAAAATTGGTTCTTTTTTTACAGTAAATTTTATTAGAAATCGATAGGTTATTTAAACACTTTACTCATGTTTGATAAAAAAAAATAAAAAGTTAATTTATAAAATCGCAAACAAATTAAATAATAATTAAACACGATCAAATCGTTTTTTATATATTCAACTTTAGTAATTAAATAGCATAGTCGGACGGTGATTGAAATCAGTGGCTTAACCTGTCACAGATTACCTTAACCTGTCACAGATTACGGACGTGCGTCACAAAACTAGTGTGAAGTAATCTCGATTACCATAGTAATCTACGAGTTTCTTTGTACTTGCATCTTACTCGTTGATCTTACGAGATCCGAATTTTTTGAGATGACTACATTTTTACTTTCGTTTCGAATCAAGGCAGCTTATATGAGTACCACATGATTGCGCAGTGGTAAATGTGAAGTGAAATGATTTTATCATCTGGTATTGCAACATGCTAATTAAAGCGTTAATATCGATATTTATATACTCGAGTGGATTTTTTTTTCCTTGTTTGTTACCAAATTACGTAATAATTGATGCAAAATATCAGTTACTGCAATGTTGATACACAGCAAATAGGTGTGGCAAGAAAGAAAAACTACAATATATCTGTTATTTTTTTATCACATACGTACTAACGGGCAAGTTCCACGTAAAATTTCAGCATACATAATTGTAAACATTTTAATCCTAAATTTTATAGCAAAATCTTAATCTTACCTTAGCAGCACGAAGATTACCCACTACTTCACTATTAAACTAAACTATATATACATAAAAATACATATGGGTATAAATAATTTATATAATCTGACAAATTACATGAGGAAATTACTATAATTATATTTGCTTAGTTCATACTTTATAATTTAAAATCCACGTTCCCGATTTACACATCACATATTTGATCATCCATTATTTACTAAAATTGGTTAAGGCTATGACCTAAACAATGACAAAATTCTTTAAAAGATCAACAATCTGATTCCAGGTAAATTCGTTTATCATTTGTTTACTTTTAATTACATTAAATTTATTTAGGAAAAAAAAATTTTTTTGGAAAAAAAAAATGATAGCATTACCAAATGAATGTCTTTTTGAAATACTTAATAACCTTCGTAACAACCATGGAAGTTTATTTTCATGTCTTTTCGTAAATCGTCAATGGTGTAGAAATTCTGTACAATTATTATGGAGTGAACCAAATGATCGACTTGAAGACGAACGAATCATAAAAATTTATCTTTCATCATTAAACATGGAAGAACAAGGTCGATTAATACCACTAAATATAATACTTCCAAATAATCCATCCCTTTTATTTGATTATCCTTCTTTTACTAAATCTATTACTGTGTCTTGGATGATCACTGGAATTATAAGTTGGATTCGAAATGAAGGTCATGGTCCTCGAGATTCAAGGTTTTATTATGTCGATTACTTTGATTTTAAAGATGATAATTATGAGGAATATGACGATTTTATGAAATCTATGAACGTAATCCAATTAATTAAATGTACTTTGA